ATAGATAGATAGATAGATAGATAGATAGATAGATAGATGGATCGATAGATAGATAGATAGATAGATAGATAGATACATAGATTGACAGATAGATAGATAGATAGATAGATAGATAGGTAGATAGATAGGTGGATAGATAGACAGATGTAGGTAGATGGCTATGCAGACAGGGACAGATGGATGGCTGGCTGGCTGGCTGGCTGGGTAGGTGGGTGGACGGACGGACGGAGGGATGGTTGGTAGATAACTAATTGAAGATTAGACTGTAATACCCGCCTGCTACCCTTTTTTTAGAACTGCTCAAGACTCTCAAAACTGTGTAAAGACCATCTGAATGTGGCAGCATGTTATCATCGACGCAGTACGATGTCACCATTGCAGTCATGCCCAGCGGCGCATCGACCCTTGCTCCCAGGAACGGGCCTTTCGTCTTGCTCATCTTCTGGCCCTTCTCGTCCCTGACTAAGCCATGAAGGTAGATCTCCTTGAAGGGAGCCTGCGGCACAGGGCCACGAGGCCAGGGAGCAAAGGCCGACGCAGGGTCAAAGCATTTGAGCTTTACAATTCTGGATCAAGGCTTTAGATGCCCGCTTCATTTTCCATCTCCCCTCCGCATGCCTTGTCTGTGAGAGTGAGTCCCATCATCACCATGCGGGCTACCCAGAAGAACAGGATGTCCTGGCCCAGACAGGCTGACAGTCAGCTGACAAGCGAGAGCCCGCAGTTGGATGCTCCGGTTGCTGGCCACGGAAGCGAGCACGGCAGGCGTAGCCCGTCTCCATCATCGTGGCCTGAGCGGCAAAGGCTTCATCCAGCAACATCGGCAGCATCACGGGGTCTGTGCTTCCATGTGTGAGCTTGCGGATGTGCCCCGACACCCTTTTCTTCCAATTGCCAAATGTTTTCATGTCGTCCCTGCCGGTTCTCACCCGTCGCTTCATCATCACGTGTAGAAGGGACACCAGGTGGGTGACGACCATAAGCAAGAGTGGGAACACCGTCGGAGCAACCAAGAGGGGCACGCTCTTCCATTCTGTCTCAAGGATTGTCTTAGCTGACGCTGAGTTGTGCACGAACTTGGAATCGTTTTCGATGCCTGATAGTCATCTTCATCTTCCAGAGCTCTATGCTTCGACTAGGACTCCCGCTCGGAGTCCCTGAAGTTCCGGTTGCTGGGGCTGGGGAACCAACTTTCTCATCTACACTTCCGTGCCTATTGGAGGACCTTGCAGGAAGCAAGCTCCTAAGGCTTGCGGCAACCATCAAAGGCAATATCGATCCCTCTGTGTGGATGCTGAAGCTCGGGCTTCGGTTTGGGATGGTGCAATCCGGAAAACTTGTTGTCTTGCTCTTGCGTCGATTTGTTGGTAGCAAACCGCGGCCGGCCACATGTTGCTGTCAAGACCTGTTGGTGTGCTTCCCCGTGCAGTCGGGACCAAAGGTGTGACCGACCTGCAATATCCGGAACCCATTAAAGGATCCAACAAAAACAGACGCCTCAAAAAGGATCCTACCATGAAGTGGGTTAAGGTAGGCCTTGCCTTAGGGGGCTCTGGCTTTTCCGATTCCCCTTTTTTTTGCCCTCTTTCTGCAACAGAGCTTCGGCTCTCCCAAGACCCCAAACCTTAAACCCAAAAACTCAAGATCCTAAACCCAAACCCCGAAACCCAAAACCCGCTCCCAAGGCTGGCTCCGGGTAGAACTTGGAGTAGTCGGCCGAGGACTCGTCAGGCCAGCCGACGGTGGCGAAGGGCCACAGCCCAGACCTAGGCATCGGCTTGAAGCGGTATGGCTTAAGGGTGTATGGTTTTAGGGCTGCGAGATGGTAGAGTTCTGCGGATTTTGAGGTTTCGGGGATTTCATGATCTAGTTTTCATGTAGGCTTCAGCGGTCGGTGCTCCCAAGAGGGACGGATTGTAGCTGCCTTTTCCGTCTGCGGCAGGCCCTGCCTTAAGCCACAACAAGCAACCGCAATAGAGCTAATAGAAGGGCCTGAAACGTTAGAATAGGCTTTTGGGTTATATTTATAGCACAAGTGTATGCAGGAACCCTCAAAACTAGTTGTAGTAGGTTATTATTGGGTGTTCTGCGATCCCTGCGAAAACCAGGTGTCCAGGACATCGTCGTCTTGGCGCAGCTCGACATCCTGTTTGCGTCCGGAACTTCCGAATCTTAATGCAGACCTCTGATAAATACAGGGCCTTAGCAGTGCAGCCTAATATCGTCCTTTTGAGATTGAGGGAGGTCTCTTAGTCTCAATCAGTGGTCTACCTACGTTAGAAGCTCTCTATAGGGCGCAGGGAGCATCTTGGAGGCGGATGCGGCAGTTCTTTGTTCCTTTGGCGTTTTACGGTTTAGAGTGCGTCGGGTCTCGGGCCAGTTTAGGGTTTCGAGAAATACTGTTCACAATGTCTGCTGGACTCGTGACTGCAAGCACTCCACAGATCCCTTTACGTTGAGCCGGTGCATGGCGCCTCCCCGAACTCTTTGCGAGCAGCGGCCAAAGCCTCCCGATTGAAAGAACGTGTGGGACTTACAGTTTAGTGTCGACTGGAGAGCTTTCGATATCAAGCCCGCAAGACTAGGAGCAGGTGCATACTGGCTCTAGCTGTAAGTAGGATGCCAGGATCAATGTCGTTTGTATCTAGTATGTGTGGCTGCATCTCCCTTCTCCCTTCTCAGGTTCACCTGTTAGCTGTGCCATGGCCATGCTCATCTTTTCAACACGGTCGCACGCCCGCTGCCGATCTGGCGAAGCGCAGCCTGCAACAACATCGCTTCCAAGCAATTACTCCCAGGCCGGGAGCATGCTTTCTACTCGCGGTGCTGACAGGCAATCCCTGAATCAAATCTTCTTTAACCAGGAATCTCGTGTAACGATGGTTCAAACACGACAACAGATACTTTCGAAGATCCTGCGCCTGAGGCGCCTTAGCTCTTTGCCGAAGGTGGCCCAGCACTTGGCTTCTCGTCCGGACGATCCCCGATCTTGCAATCCTTGCCTCAGACGGATGAAGCTTCAGGATAATCTTTCCTGCATTTGAAGATGGTCGACCGTCTCACCATTCGTGGCCATTCACGGGGTCCGTATGGGAGTTCTGAGAAATTGGAAGCACTTATTATAGACCTCAGGCACAAGGATCTTTATATAAGGACACACCAGCGCAGGACCACGAATTTCAAAACCCCCCCCCCATTTATATCAGGGACATAGGAATACTCTTTCTGCAGCAAAGGCACAGTCCGAGCTAGGCATCGGCAGCTGGACAGGTGCCCCACGCGAGGCACCAGGGGCTGACGTCAGGGTTGGCATGTATGGGGTAGCAGGGTCTAAGAGCCTGTGCCGTGTGCGCAAATATATGTATGTATGTATGCATATATGCATGTGTATATATATATACAGAAATTATATACATACATAACTATTTATACATACATCTATCTATTCGTCTATCTGTCTATCTGTCTATCTCTCTATCTCTCTATCTCTCTATCTACCTATCTATATCTATATCTATATCTATATCTATATCTATATCTATATATATATATATCTGTTTCTGTTCGTCTATTTATTGCTATTTGTCTGGAGCTGTGTGCATAGCCTGCATACCCTTGATCAA